GGACATCAAATCTTTGATGTTGGGAATCGCCTCAAAGCTTGATACGCTGATTGAGCGACAGGAGCAAGGCACCTTGCCTGTCCTAGGGACGTTGTTGCATGGCCGAGTGCAGAAACGCCTGGATGAAGGAAAGTCCCCGCCGAGACTTGTTACGGTCTGCGCGGAGGAACAGATGCCGGACTTCACTGCGCTTGCTCACATTCACGATGTTAAGCCCCACTCGACTCGACATTGATTGCCAAGAAGGTTCAAGTGCCAGCCCCGGCTGAAAAACTCAATGCACCAAACTTCCGCTCTTTGGCAAAATTGCGGTGATCGGGCATGGGTTGCCAAGCTCTGCCCTGACTTGAGTATCCCGCAGAGTCTCATCACTAAGGAGACCAACCTACAAGAACAGTGGGCCCCGCCCGAACAGTTCGTGACATTGAGAATCAATCCCATGCGGCTCCTCAAAGACAACCAGTTTGCCATGGTTAAGCAGCGGCCGGAGGGTGTGATTGGTTGGCCCAAGGTCTTAGAACGTAGTATGGAAGCAAAAATCCCTCCGGGTGGAAGATGCAAGACGACATCGTCATCACAGGCTACACATTCTTCAGTTCTTTGGGTCTCCATGGTCCAGTTTTCTTCTCCAAGTTGGCCAAGGCCATCGTTGTCCTTGATCCGGTTTCCTGGCTTAAGAAAGAAGACGCTGAGAAGGGTTGGGCGTACTACTATGACAGGGTCGCCCTTGCTTCAGGGAACGCGCCCATGGTGCCCATTGCTTGGCGTGAAAGGGGAGGTGCACACCTTGGCGTCACTGGAAAGCGAGACAAGGAGGCTGCCCATGCTGGATGCTCTAGGGACTTCCTAGATGCGTGAGGCCAATAGGAGCAGAAGTGGAAATTCGAGGAAGGGGGTAAACTTCCAACATGGAGAGCTGGCAATTGGTCCTTCCAGGCGGTTGGGCCAGATGCCACGCTCCACGACTACATCTACAAGGTGGACGACGACCGCCGCGTCACTATTTGCAGATGGAGACGTGCCAGCAACACAGGGGCCGAAGCCCCTAAGATTAAAAGC